AGAGAGAGAGAGAGAGAGAGAGAGAGAGAGAGAGAGGAAAGATCTCTGTATTATTGTTACACTTTTTGAATGAGTGTTATATTTCAGACCATCTCGACCAATGACATTAACCTTCTAACCCTACCCTACATGCGATTTTGGCACCTTCGGCATTTTATCTTCGGCACGCTCAAAGTTTATCATGTATGAGTGAGAAATGAATGCGTTTTCGCGCTCGCGTTCAGCGAATGGTAGGAATTTGGCTACGGCACCCCATTTTTCTTCGTCTGTCAAAAACCTCTCCACTCACTTCCGTTCACAAGGACGCGCAGTCGCCAAGTAAACAAAGGGGAAATAACTAGCGCCGCACTAGCGTCCATTACGCTTTCTCTAGAGTGGCCTGCCTTCCCGGCGCACCGCTTAGTACGAAAGGACTGAGCAAACCAAGCTTGTTTACTTTCTTTCCTCTTTCCTCCCACTTTCCTCTTTCTCTCTCTCAACAAGGCGAAACTGCTCTTTACCCAAGTGAAAAAGTTCGAAGCTAGGAGGAGGGAGTTTTTGTGAGTTTGCAAAATGTCGGTGCGAATGAGGGATGCGCTCATCGTTTGGAACATCGTTGGTTGACGTCACGGTAAAGTAGTACACAACTTTGCTTTGTCTCTGAACTCTTTCTTTTCTTTCTTCGTGATGTCTTCTGTCTTCTTGATTTGATAGGCTATTCGTCAGTCATTGTGACTGTGTTGCAGCTGTAGCCTAGCCTACTAGATTTCTAGATCTATTGACATTGATGATCGTTGTGATTTCAAAAGTTAGTTCTGATAGAAGGCAGAAGGCCTCTATCAGTCTAGAATCTATCAGCAAATAATAAGATCTAGATCTAGATCTAGATCTAGAATCTAGATCTAGATCTACATCTAGATCTATACATAGATTAGATCTAGTGGACTCTACTGTATATAATGTATAGATCTATTTATATATATACATATATATATATATATAACTGTCTCTTTCTTTCAATTGATATTGTTGCTATTTCACTGTCTCTTTTATTAGTGGTCATAGGGTTGAAACAGGAGACAGACTTTCAGTAAGTTATATATTATAGAGCGCTGAGGTTTCTAACTGAATCAGCAGAAAATTGAACTGTTTTTGAACCCAGCAGTCGACCTTAATATATGTTGTATGGCTGCGCTGCCTATCTGTCCTTCTGTCTGTCTGTGTGTTTCTTTGACCGCCCGGACAGTATAGGCATATTTTTGTTTGTTTCATAAAGGTTTCTTTGTAAAATTGTATTGGTGTATTGTTGATTGTTGATGATTGTCTGCTACTTTAATTTTTTTTCAACATGATACGATTGCTTTTGTTCTGTCATAAGATGATTTTAGAAACCTGTGGCTATTGTTATGCTGACTATTTTAAAACTACATTTCAAGCACAACTTGTGTGTGTGTGTGTGTGTGTGTGTGTGTGTGTGTGTGTGTGTGTGTGTGTGTG